AGACTGTACTAATAGGTATAAATTGCAGAAAGTTTATGTCAGAAAATATATTTGTATTTTTAGTAGATTTTCTGTAATTAGTAGCAGTTTCGTTAAAAAAATATATGGTCAGATTGCGGCGATGGTTAGTAGGTAGTATCATAGATGATGCTTTGTGCTGGGCCGGCTTAGTGAGCGGTTGTCCATTTATTATTTTTTCTTAATGTTACAAGTAATCTTACAGTGTTGCAATAATTTTTTAAGCGTCTCAGTGGCGGGCGTTCGCGGTACTGTTGCTACGGCACTGTGCTGGGCCTGTATACTATTAATTAATTTGAATAAGAAATTATCAAAATCCATTTTTAAAATATGATTTAACTTTTGAACACAAATGCAATTATTTTAATAACAAAATTACCTTAATGTAAGGAAAGAGCTTCTTTTCACTATAGAAAGCGCCTACTACAAAACTACACAATTATAATTGCAAAGGAAATTTGAACTAAAATTGATAAATGTTTAAAAACACCCACAAGCCAAAAGATAAATTTAATTGTACAGTTTTTTTTATTACGTAATGTATTACTTAACAAAAATTACTTATTTCTTACAACAAACCTATTTGGTTTATTATGACTTTTTAAAAATTTATTAACAAATAAAACCACAAAAACTTTGTAAATTATTTTAATAAACAGTCATGATAAAACAAAAATCACAAAAAGTTTATGCTCAGGATATCACAAAATTAAAGAAATGTTATTAAATTTACACAAATAAATAGAAGTAGTACACAACAAATAATCCAAATCATTCTTTCATAAAGAAAATAATAAATATACAATGTATATTATACATACAAGAAAGTCTTAGTTGTAATAATATTTACAAATATTATCTACTTAAATCTAATTAAAATTAGAAACCCTAATAACCTCTTAGTCCATTGTAGACCTTGTTGTTTGAGCTTTGATTCAGGATTTTCTTAATTTCTGAAATAAATAAACCAATAAGTAATTGTCAAAATTAAAATTTTTGTGATCTTTACCTTCTTTTTGCTCATCTGTAAACTCTTGCTTGGGAAACTCGACATCAAAGGTTATATAGAGAATTCCGTGCAAATTATTGTTGTCATAGTTTGGCATCCCTTCGCCCTTTTTCCGGATCCTGGCACCCGGCCACGTTATTTTGTCCCTCACTATAGATACCATGTGCCCGTCTAAATGGGGGAGCTCCATTGTAAAACCTGTCAGGGCATCCTTATGCAAGAAAATAAAGTTAAAAAATGGGTCCTTTCCTTCAATCAAAATTAAAAATCTCTGCTTTCGCGGTCAAAAGAATTATCTATGGCTCAAACAGTAATGACGTCACTTATTATAATATACAGTAATAACTCAATGGTAATAATATGTATAGTCCGTTTTTAGATTTAGAGCATTGTTGCCAGATATAACAAATTTACGCTATTTCAGAATATGCAACCAATTATACTTTATTAGTTTATTAATTGCACAATAGTATCAAGTTTGATAAACAATAGTATCAAGTTTGATAAACGCCATTTTATACACGAATTTAATTTAGGCACGAGCGAGCTTGCGAGCGAGTGCTTAAATTAATGAGAAAAGTTTATAAACAAGGTGCATACTATACTTTTTCTACGACAAATACTTATTATTATTTTAAAATGATTTGAATCAAAAATTTGTATAGAGCGCCATCTATGAAACAATTGGGGAATCTGTGTGTCACCGTCAAATGTCAAATATTTTTATTTTATAAATACAATTATAAAGGTTATAAATCGAAATGTATTTCTTGAAAATTGACAGTTTTTCAGTGAAAGTAAAGAAAATGTTTTATGAGCACTTTACAGTGGAGTTCGTGCCCGAATTTAAGTTATAGTTTACTGCCGGCGAAATTAAAAGGTCAGTACAATGTTCATATAACTTTTCAAATATTGGCGTTGAGAAACTACTTTTGTATTTTTGTATTGAGATATATAGGTTGGCTATACTTTAAACAGCATAATATTTTGCATATCTGATATATTTTATGATTTTTTTAGTACCTACTTACAAGACTTTTCTGGCAATAAATTTTGTTTAACTCCAAAGAAAATCCCTTTTTTCTTCTTTAACATTAAAAGCCGCTTATTGTAAATAAGTAAAATAAGGACGGTATGGCGAATCGATTTTGACATTAACTGTCAAACCAATGACTGATATACCAACTATTTAAAGTAAAATTCAACCAAATTAAATTTAAGGTATAAAATTAATTTTTTTATAGAATTTTTGCAAAATAGATAAAAAAGCATAAAGAACTCATAAGACCTTTTGTCGCACTCGTCCATTACAAAACTCGCTCCTTCGTCGCTCGTTTTATAAATTGTCCGCGTGCGACAAAATGACGTCTTATGACATTAGTATGACTATAGTAATATACTAGTTTATAATAAAACTTTTTCTACATACCTTTTAATAAAAGTTTTTTTTAATAAGTTGGTAGTTTTTTGACAATTCATTGGTCAGTTATAGAACAATTTTTAATTAAAATGTATGTATGCCAGGACACAATCACAAATATAATAATCATACTAGTTTTATCTTTATGGTTTTATTTAAATGCAGCAAATTATGGGTTTAGTATTTTTGTTTTAGCCAACTAAATCCTCAAATTTTTGACTGTTTAATAAAAATACAAGGTTAATTTTATCACTTACTTGTAAAGAAATTGTTATGTTTGTATACAGATCGTCCCCTTTCCTCTCGAAAACAGCATGCGGTTGTGTCTTAATCTTCAATATTAAATCCCCTGGGTCCCCATCCAAATGGGGTTCACCTTCGGCAACAAACCTTGTTTCTTGTCCATCTATCATACCAGGTTCAACCTCCATTTCCAGCACTCGTTCTTCATTGACAAGCTTAACATTGGGGCACTCGTCGCACACCGTTTGCTGCATCATTTGGAATCTACCAGGGCCCAAGTTTCTCGTTACCATTTCCTGCCGACAGTTGCATTTTCGTGTGCCTTTCGCCGGTTTCATTACGGGTTTGTTTCTCGTTATTTCGATAAACGTTCCTGAGTACAAGTCTTCCATGGTGACGAATATATCCATGTTTAAATCGGCCCCCTTGGGGGTTTCATGCTTTTGTTCGCCACCAAAGTTAAAACCGAAATCCCCGAAGAAACTGGCAAATGGGTCCATTCCCCCATCCATCATGCCGTCTTTTTGGAGGCAATCCTCCCCACATCTATCGTATTTCTTACGTTTATCCTCGTCGGATAAAACTTCGTACGCAGCCCCCAAATCCTGGAATTTCTGCGACGATTCCGGATCGTTCTTGTTTTTATCAGGGTGCAACTCTTTCGCTAACCTGCGATACGCCTTTTTTACTTCATGCAAGCTCGCCGATTTCGTTACACCTAATATTTTGTAAAAGTCTCTGCCAGCTAGGGTTATAGCGGCGAAATGCAGCAAAATACACAAACACAAACTGTACACCTTCATTTTATTTGTTTTTACACGACTAGCATCACTTTTTCATTTATCATTAGCGTAAATTCAATTTATTAGAAGAAATAGCCTTATGACAACCAAGTGCCAAACACGCAACTCCAAAACATGTGGATGGCTCTTATTGGTCCAATTTCATACTAATCTATAAATAGGCAACCACGAATACGCACGGAAACGTCAATTCTTTACGTTGGCAACACTGGTTAATTCGGGTTTACTTGATAGAGGAAAGATGGCACTAATAGTAACTATACGTGATTATTTAAAATACTATGCGGGTTTTAATGATTCTTTTAGGATTCTGCTGCTTTAGGAGGAATCAAGGGATGTATCGAGTTTTATAGTTTTATAAACGCCATTTTAGAACTTTAAGAGTTCATAAATTAGGCACGTGCGAAGCTTGGGAGCGAGTGTTTAATTAAAAACGAGTGTCTGGAGAAGTTTCTAAAACGAGTCACATACTATACTAAGTATAGTACTGTCTGTCCACTCTAAGTTGGCGGAACTAAGGAATTTTGTAGTTTAGATATTAAAGAATTGTCGTAATGTGTGCTTTTAAAACAGATTTTATATTATAAATACTACTAGTACATATTATATACTAGTATTATTTATAATATAAAATCTGTTTTAAAAGCACACAGTACGACAATTCTTTAATATCTAAACAACAAAATTCCTTAGTTCAGCCAACTTAGAGTGGACAGACAGTATGTAGGTAACTCGTCTTTATCTACGACGAACAGAAATAGGAATTTAAAGCCAATTTCAATTCATAAATATTTCACATTTGACCTTACCTTTTTGCAATTTCTTATAAAGCCAACTTCAGCCCGTGACTAAAATGCTCAAATTTGAACGCCATAAAGTCACAGCTCGTCAATGTAGGAGTAAATAATAGTAGGTATATTATGAATCAAGTTTTATAAACGCCATTTTACTAAGAGTTTAAGCCCAATCGAAGCTTGCGAGCGAGTATTTATTAAAAACAAGTATCTAGAGAAGTTTATAAACGAGTTACAAACTATACTTTATCTAAGACGAACACAAAACAGATGTAAAGCCAATTTCATTTCTTAAAACTTTGACATCTGTCAACTGTCACCCGAATTTAACCTCACTTTTTCCCAATTTATAATAAAGCTAACTTCAGGCCGTGGCTAAAAAGCTTAAAAGCTACTGTTTCTAACTTCAGCCCGTGACTAAAACGACATAAAGTCAAACCCCTCCAGGAGGGTTTCAAACCACAATTTTTACTGGAAATACTAAAAAATAACCTAAAAATATATATTTTTTTTATGAAATATTACTTAAAATACTTATATATATATAATGTATGTACCTATAGGTACATACATTTTTTAATGACATTTCAGACGGAAATTTTCAGGTAAAATACTAAAAAATAACCAAAATATACATATATTTTTTTAATAAAATTTAATAAAGCCCCCCCAGAAGCAAATCCTGCGCGCGGCCCTGATATAGAAAGTATCAATTGAAGTAAGAAGTAAGCCCCACTCTTTTGCTTGTTTATAAGTAGTTATTTATAAGTAGTGAATGTATAAAATAAATTCTTTTAAAATTATTTCTGAGTTATTGTAATAATATTTTAAATTAAAAATGTCCGGATTTGAACGTTGGGTTGGCAAAGTTGCTATTGTAACGGGGGCCAGCAGTGGGATTGGGGCTGATATTGCAGAAAGGCTGGTCAAGGAGGGTCTTAAGGTAGGAACTTAATTATTACTTTTCTACAAAAAATAAATAAAATTTGTTAGTAATAACAAATTTATGCAGTATACTTTCGGCGCTCTTTGTTACCGTATCTATACGTCAAAATTATTTTGACGTATAGATACGGTAACAAAATAATACTTAGCTCTTAAAATTCTCTATAATTTTTATATATCATATAATTTCCAAGCACATTTTGTATACCAAATGTGCTTGGAAAATATATGATACATAAAAATTATAGAGAATTTTAAGAGCTACAAGTATTATTTTGACCATTTGTGACCCGAGGTGCAAGGTTTATCTGAAAAATACAAAACATTTTTAACCTTGACTTGTTCATATTTAGATGTTTATAACTTTTTATTAATTAACAATTCGGAAAAAACAAAAGTTGTTGGTAATACGGTCTAGGGGTGTCAATCCCGAGCCCTTTTTCCAATCCCGGGACTTTCGGGACCAAAAAATATATATCATTAATAAAACCAAATTTAAAATAAAGAAACAAACAAACCGTAGGCACATTGTACCCACGCTTACCCCCATTAACAAATAATTCCATTTCTTTTATCAATCGGGCCTTGGTGAGTTCCAATTGGGGCTGTTACTTGCATTGAAATTATCAAGTTTTGAAATAAGTTATGTACATGATTATTAATTGTTTCGACCTTTACTTGATGAAACTCCATATTAACTATGTAGATATAAAAACAATTTTGTTGTAAAGTTTCACGAAATTTATTAAATTTTGACAGCTGTTTCGCTACACAGTAGCTTCTTCAGAATGTATTAATACATTCTGAAGAAGCTACTGTGTAGCGAAACAGCTGTCAAAATTTAATAAATTTCGTGAAACTTTACAACAAAATTGTTATTATATCTACATAGTTATGTACATGAATTTATTCTACAGTGACCTGTAATTTTACATTTTCTTTGCTGATTTTATGCTAAACGCGATAGATGGAACCACTCTTGCTATGTAATTTCAATCAGTGGCGGCTGGTGGATTTTGGGCACACCCATATCTCAGTTATTAGACAGTTATTAGACATGGGACCCACATCAAATTTATATGAGTTTATATAGACAAGTTCTGCGCAAGCAGAATTTAAATTGAAGTTTACGAAAAAAAGTTAGTTTTTAAGTGTGCCCCCCAGCCTCCTGCCCTCCAAATTAAGATAATTTAAATTAAAATGATACAATATTTAATTTACTGAAGTTTATCGATAAATTTTAAATTTTGTTAAAAAATTTCAAGAATTACAGGTTTTATACCATTTTAAATTTTTATTATTTCTTTTAGTAAATTAAAAAAAAAATAGAAATGGTATAAAATCTGTAATACTTTAATTTTTTAAATAAAATTTAAAATTTTTCGATAAACTTCAGTGAATTAAATATTGTACCACTTTAATTTGAATTATCTTAATTTGGGGGGCAGGAGGCTGGGGGGGGGCACACTTAAAAACTAACTTTTTTTCGCAAACTTCAATTTGAATTCTGCTTGCGCAGAACTTGTCTATATAATGTCATTATAAACTCATATAAATTTGATGTGGGTCCCATGTCTAATAACTGAGATATGGGTGTGCCTAAAATCCACCAGACGCCACTGATTTCAATGTATTTTTATTATTGTGTATATGTATATATATAATTTGACTTTTGAACTGGGTACAAAAATGAAGTACCTATGCTATATATATGCTTATATTATAATATTCATAATTATTATAATAATATAAAAAATGTCATACGCTTGAAAAAAAAGTAGGTATATTTTATTGTTTGTAACTTATTACTAAGATCCCAGGATTGGTACTTTTGATGCCGGGATTTTCGGGATCGGATTTTTTACGGTAACTTTTTTTGAAGTGGCATGCATATTTACAGAGTTAATCGGACTCGAATTCTAATAATTTTTCCCCAGAAGTTTTAAAAAATAAAAATTTCTTTAGGTTGTCGGCCTGGCTCGTAGAATAGAAAGAGTGGAAGCCCTGTCAAAAAAACTATCGAGCGAAAGAGGCAAGCTGCACCCTATCAAATGCGACATGTCGAAGGAGGAAGAAATTCTCGCTGCTTTCGAGTGGACAAAACAAAACGTAGGCCATGTGAGCATCCTGATAAACAACGCAGGCACCGCTCCACAGAGCACTTTGATCGGAGGCGAGACGGCCGCGTGGCGGCAAATTTTCGACGTTAACGTCGTCGCGATTTTGATTTGCACCCGCGAGGCGGTCAAAGGGATGAAGGAGAATTCCATCGATGGGCACATCGTTAATATTAATAGCGTGGCCGGGCATTACCCCCACTATTTACCAGATTGTAGCGTGTATTCTGCCAGTAAACATGCCGTTACGACTTTATCGGAGAATTACAGGAGGGAGTTTCATGCTAATAACCTCAAAATTAAGGTTACGGTAAGATTTGATCTTATAATTTTATATTTGTAACCAGCTCCCGTGGTTCAAAGGGGACATCCATTAATTACGTGAGGCATTTTTCTGATAATTTGGACCCCTCCCTCCCCCTCACGTGTTATTCTAGCCATTAAACTTTCTTTGCGGACAACATGATAAACCCAAAAAATAAAAATTAATTACTTTTTTTTGACAAATTTGAATTATAATACATATTCTTTAAACCCAAAAGTTGACGTGAGATTTTTAATGACCCCCCTCCCTTAACATGAGATTTGGTGAGATTTTGCTAGACCCCTCCGCCCCTATTTTTATCTCACGTAATTAATGGATGTCCTCAAAGAAGAAACAGTTTTTAAATGTAGGCAACCCAGATGACACGTTGGGTTGAGTTTAGTATATATTTTGCAATTATCCCGCAGGAACCTTCATTTTTCAGGGATAAAAAGTATTTTCAGGAAATTAAAAAAAAATTAAATAAAATTTTTAGAGCGTCAGTCCAGGGTTAGTAGATACTGAAATGCCTTCGGACAAGTTTTTGAAAAGTATGGTCAGTTTAAAAGGTGAAGATATCGTCGATGGTGTTATTTATGTTCTGTCGACCAAACCGCATGTTCATGTTTGTATTTTTTTTTACGAAAAATAGGTATAAAATAAAAAAATACTATTTGTAGGTCCCTGAATTGATGATACGTCCTTATGGTGGAGAATATTAAAATAGAAAGTTTTTTTGCCAATAACATTATAAAATGTAAATATATAAAAATACATATTATATTATATGCATCCAATTATTAAAAAAACATCTTGGAACTGAATAAAATGTACCTACTTAATAAACAATTGTAGCATTAAAAACTTCTTGAGATTTGCCCCCCCCTTGCCCTCCTCTAGTACGCTACTGCATATATTATAATATACGCAGTAGGGTCACCCTACTAGGGTGTCCATTACCTTCTTTATCTCTGTCCATTACATTCCAAGTTGTTGGGTTACTTGGGTAGCATCTAAATTATTTGTTTATAATCTAAAAACAATTTTGAAGTCCCTGAACATGCAATAATATAGAAGATATATTTTTGTAGGAAATTTTACGCTTTATTATAAAAAAGTTCTTTTCAGATTTTTTCGCAATATAAAAAAGGTCTTTTCCATTAACCTAATATCGGAGAACAATGTTTGAAATTGATTGATTGAAGCTCTTGGAATTTTCAAGAGCTTCAATCAAGTTGGAAATTGGTTTAGGATTTTTCAAAAAATATTGTTAATTGCAGCCACTTCTCATATAACAATTTTGCAAGCATAATATATTATGCATATTAATGCATGTTAATGAAGCTGCTAATAAACGTTTATAAATAAATATAAAAGTTTATACGACCTTCCTAGAAGTAATATTATAATATTTATTTTTTTATTTATTCCTATTGCATAATATAAGGTTTTTTCCGTATGTAATGATAAACATTATAAATTCCCTGCCTAACAACGGGGATAATGAATTCATTATTCACGTTGTTAGGCATCAGTGCTTGGCCGATTTTAATATTCACTGTAATTTGAACCAATCGGGTTTTAAATTGGGGTATTTACACGAAACCTTACCCCACCTTGACAAAAAAAACAGATCTGTTATTTAACAAAATAAAAACTATAAGTCAAATAGTTTAATTGCGGCGTAATTTATTACAAAATATTCGTACATTGTGATGGTAAGAAGCTAACATAAAGAATAAACACGGAAGAGTTTCAATACTCGATAAAATGTTCAAATGTCGCACCCGTTACATTTTGAAAAAATTTTAGAAAATAAAGTATGCAATATTTGTGCATTTAAAATACGTGCTTGTTTAAGGTTACTATTCAAGTTTTACACAAAAAATTATTACTATATGCTTTCATCCAAAATTTCAGTATCAACTTTAAAGAAGCCAACTTGGTCGCAGTTGCCGATTTTCTGAGGTCGCGCCCGTTACGCGATTTTTTACGTTATAAAAGGTTTTCTATACAAGTTTTTACTGACATTTTGTTTGAGTTAAATATCTAATTTTTTATAATATTTTTTCATATTAACGTATCTTGATATGAACAAACACTTTATTATCGTGAAAAAACGCAGTTTTAGTGTCGCACCCGTTACAATGGAATTACCCATTGGGAGAAGGCGACTATAATATTTAAAATTGATAAAAAGTGAGGTTAACCATTTGACAGATGTCAGGTCTTATTTATAAATATCATTTAATTATCTACTTATTGGAGTAGGTAAATCATAGTATTACACTTGAGATTATGCGCATTACGTATAATAATATACTATTATATACAGTTTTAAAATAGTAATATCGGTTTTTATGTTAGAACCTTATGATTTTTATATTTTTGTTCATTTTGGAATCCTTTCTACCCCCTTAGCCAATAAAATCTAAATATAGCCATAAGAAGGGAAACGCAGACAAGAACCATTGTAGTTAATTTTTTCGTTTCATCATTAAGCCAACGTTTCTTCGGTTGACAGTTAATATGAATTATGGGCTACGCCTTTTCGTGCTATTCGGTGGGTGCATCATACCATCCGAGTTCCGAAATATATATAAATATATAAACATTCTCAATGCCGACAGAAGAGCCAGGTTCGAATGGCGTGCATAATGGAAACGTTCCGAACGTTTGTCGGCCTCTCATAACATTTTATATGCTGTCTATGACTCTATGTCTTCGCAGTTTGGGTTTTGTTTTAACTGGGCCCTGTATGTTTTGTCTCGAGTCCCTGTGTATAAGAGTGTCCTTTATTTTATTTTTTACTAACTTCGGTATCCTATACTGTTTCAATTGAGAAAGTGGCTTATTCTTAAACGGTGGAGAAAATTGATCTCTTTCTCCACGGTTACAGTCCAATCAGACGAGATAATAATTTTCTCCACGGTAGTATTTATCATTAATATGACGATTATACGGTGATTCATTTCAATTAATTCACACTAACATTTGACATTGAATCTGAAGTTATGGTAATTACAGGTAGATACAGAATAGTACTAAATAAAATTAAAAAAAGTAAAGTGTTCAACTATTGAGAAATGGTCATTTCCATTTGAATATTTTATCCACATGGAAATGGCCCACTTTCTCAATCGTTGAACAATATAGTATTTTCTGATGTCGTTTAGCCCTTCCTAAATTAAATTTTAATAACACATGAAAAAATCATCTTACTAATAAACAGACATGCAAGAATTTTTATCCGAAATCGGCAGTAAAGTAGTCAACAATCGGCAGTAAAGTAAAATAAATCGACAGTAAAGTAGAACTTTACTGCCGATTTAATACAAGTATTGTATGCAACCAATTATACATTTTAAGATGTGTCTACTGCTCCTCAGCAGCAACTAAATATTATTTATAAAAAAGAACCGTTGCGGAGGTCGATTGGGCCCTTTCATAAAATGTTGTTTAATAAAAATAATAGGTAAGTTAATTTTATAAATTAAATTAAAAAATCGCCCTGGATAGCAAATATATCATAACCGTTGCAACAAACATTATATATACTACATATACGTAGACACTTCCTACATTCAAATGATATTTGATTTGATTATCAAATGACATTTGATTTGATCATCATAGAGAGAGTTTTTCTATGTTGATCATCAATATTAATTATTAGTATTATTAAATGCGATTTCGGATAAAATTTAATATGCACCTCGGCATTAAAGTCATTTTTTATCAATCACGTGGTTATTTGCCTCGGCTTTCGATATTTTAAATAAATCAAAACTAAAAGTATTGTCCTTTTTTTATAAGTGGCTTTTTTACTTGGTTATCATCCAAATTATTTGTTTTAAGTCTAAAAATTATTTTGAAAAAAAAAGTTTTTTTCCCAAAAGGTACACAAAGTTTGTCACAAATAGACATGCAATAATTTTTGTACGAAATTATTTATTATTATAAAGTATTTTATGTTTTTTCGTAAAATCGTCGATTTAAATGATATTTGAAAGAAATCAAAATTAAAAGTATTGTCCATATTTTTTAAATAATTTGGATGATATCGAAGTAAAAAATCCACTTATAAACTCAGAAAAAAAAGGACAATAATTTTAATTTTGATTTATTTTAAATATCATTTAAATCGATGATTTTACGAAAAAAAACATTTTTTCAGAGCGTATAATTGCCTACAAAAATTTGTCTTGTGTATTGTGACATGTCCATTAATAAGCGAGTTATTAAGTTTTTATTACGTAAAAAATAATGTAAACGAAAATTTTAAATTTTAAATTGGGCTTCACCCCTTTTAAGGGATGAAACCTAACCCCACTTTTCAGATTTTTATAAAGTACTTTTTTTAATTAAAATTTTATTATCAAATTAAAATAAGAAAAAAATTGCACAGTCAATTTCCTTTTTAAAAAACCTTTCTTAAAAGGGGTGAAATTTTTTTTTTTTAATATGACTGGAAAGTCCACAAAAATCTCAATATTCGTGTTTTTGTGTTTTATCCAAATATTTTATCATGAGGCTCTAGCGAATTAGTTCCAGTTAACGACCCCACCCTGTATATATATATATATGTATATATCTATATTGTGATTTTTATAGATAAAATATGCGTTCCTAATAAGGGATACGCTTTGGTTTCTTTAATGAAGTCGGGCAGGAAATGGTGTTCATTTTAATTAGGTAAAGCGGTTGCCATGAGACACTAGCTATGTAGTCTACCTACTAATAAAATTAGACTGTGTTTTGCATGCCCTTCATAAGATACAAAGTTGAGGTATTCGAAGTCTAAATATAGATGATACTTAAGTTATTAAAGAATATAGTCAGTATTGTTTTGTTTAAATTTGATGACTAATATCCTGGATGGATAAATACTAAAGTTAGAATAATTAGTTGAACTAAGTACCTGAATTTTTTCTCACCAAAAATGTCAGTCAATGTGCTAACCAACTGTTGGATGAAGTACGTGTAATAATTGTACTCGAGTCTCATAATAATACAATAAAATTTCAGGGCCTTACCCATAATTCGCATAGCACTGGTCACCAGATGGAACATCTACCATACCATAAGGTAAAAGTCTTATTGTAAATACTGGACGTTATTTTAAAAGTCTTGTGACACAAAACAGAAACAATTTAATAGAAAATACAGCAGGTCTAAAATGCTTTTAACAGAAAGAGATGTCCATTAAAACAGAGGGTTGCCACCCTGACCTCTCCTTAAAAATATCCATTATAATAAATCGAAAAACAGGCCTGCTTAAGTCGTTAACGGTTGTTTTGAAATGTCAAGACCTTTTAATTAATGTCTTCAAAAAATGTAATAAAAAGTGGGCAGGTACATGTGGAAACTCAGGTAAGCCCCGCCATTTTAAATCCAACAGGTAAACTAACTGAGAGCCAATCCAAACGGAGCGCATCTCCATTTTTATAAAGATGCAAATTGACTCACAGAAGTAATATTTTATTGACTCCACATAGAGTATTACTCACACACATTGTGTTTTATGTCATCCCTTCTGTTTCCGGTTTGGCAAAGCCGACAAAGTAAAATAAATAAAATAACAATCTTTGCCAATTTCGGTTATAATTTTATTAGAGCTCTGTATATCTCCTTTACACCACAGGGCTTCTAGTCTTTGTTGACTTTTAATATGTCGGCTCTTTTATTTCAGAATAAAATGTTGTTTTATAGTACTATTATTATACAGGGTGTCTTGTAGCAAATATCAAGACTTCACCAGTGGATATAGAAAAAACCTGAGAACCTTTCTGTATATGGATGGATATATCCAAAGTTGAATTGTTTTTTTTTGTACGCCGCTGAACATG